TTTTTTTTAAAAAAAAAAAAAGAAAGAAAAAAGTAAGAAAAATGGCCTGTGCTATCCGGAGGAGGAAAGCATGGTTCTGTGTACAACCTCCTCCAATGCTTTCACAAGTTCCCGAGCCCCAGCAGGCCCGCGCTGCCGAGATTTCTCTTCCTCCTCCCCCGCCCGCTGCTGCTCCACCCTCCCCTCCCTTCACCCAGATCCTTAACGGGAAAGTCTCACTCGGAGATACCACAGGGGACACAAATGTCATGGGGGCTGCTCAGGCCAGCACGCAGGGGGTGGGGACTCTCAGCTGGCACCACCCGGGGGATCCTATTTCAGTCCCCAGGGCCAGCTGGACCCAGACAGGGCCAGCCTTTGCCCTTCGGGTGGCCAACATCCCTCAGCCCCAGGCACTCGGCTCGCCACAGCCCTGCACACGGACGGACGGACGGACGCCCCGATCCGGGAGCTCCGAAGGAGGCCCCAAATCACAGCGCAGCCCTTGGCGCACAGATGGCCGCATACCGGCAGAGCCGCCACCTGGGGAAGGCTGGGTAAACATGTGTCTGGTGAATCTCAGCGAGCATGGCAAGAGCAGTTGTCAGCGCTGTCGCTGAGTTTAGATGGCGTTTCTTAAGAGCATGTGGCTCAGGGACCACCTGCATGTGGATTCTAGAACCCCGCGCCAGACACCCGGAAGCAGAATCTCTGTGGCTGGAGCCCGGGAACCTGCATTTTCACCAGAATGCAAGGGGATCCTTCTGTGCTCTCACACTGGAAGTCACTGCTTTGAAGCGTTCCCACATTGCCCCGGAAGGCTGGCCATCAATGACAGGGAACCCTAAGCGACCCTGTCTTCCTGCCTTGCCAACCTGCATTACGTCCCAAGCACAGGTCTCTGCTCTCACCTGTGCTCTCACAACAGCTCCGTCAGGCCTACAGGCTGGCTCCATGGAGCAAAAATGGGGAACCCGAGCCAATTCCAGGGCACAAGGGTCCCAGCAACTTGGCTCGGAGTTTCCAAGAGCCAAAGCCAAAAGGCAACCATGATGGGCCAGGGGGTCCTTTTAATCTATTCATTCAACACGCGGATGCTCTGTATGGATCAGGCACTTTGCAAGCTCCTGCCCCCACGCAGTAAAGAAACAGATATGGTCCCTCCTGTCACCTCCCAGGCCGCTAGGCAGAGGAAAGCTTTGGTTTACGTTTACTTCAATAGAAATTACTTCACATAGGGTATACAGACTGAAGAGGAACATTTGTTAATCGATATTTTCCCATTGATTATTAGATTGGAAGGATAGCAGGGAGGGGGAGAGAGAGAAACACTGATGTGAGAGAGACACATCGACTGCTAGCCTTCTGTATGCACCCTAATGAGGGCCAGGGATCCAGTCTGCAACCTAGATACGTGCCCTTGACTAGAATTGAACCTGGGACCCTTCAGTCCATGGGCTGACATTCTGTCCACTGAGACAGACATACATACCCACATACACAAACAAACAAACAAACAAATATAGCAAGCGCTATAACAGACTTCAAATACTGCTCCTCGTAGCATCTCTTAGTAAGGCCAAGTATCCATTGTAGAGAAAAGCAACTGGAATGAAGAAACGTGGTCCAAATACAGAGGTTTCTTAGATGCTAATTGTTCCAAGAATAAACCCCAAACTACGCAGAAGGAAGGAAGGACCATTTGCCCTTCAACTGCAGCGATGTGGGGCAGTGTCTTGGATGCAAGCAAGAGAGCAGGATATAAAAATGCTGTGCACCACGAGGTGAAAATCTATAGGCATATGAATAAAGATAAGGGAATAGGAAGATTTAAAAATAAAAAAAGGCATAAGGCTCAGGCTCCTGGGGGATGGGGGGGAAGGTTGCTCTTAAATCTTAAAATAACGACTTATCATTGCCATCACCTGGCCCACGAGCGCCTGCATCCAGGCCTATTTTAAATGCCTCCTTCAGCCCCGCAGGGCGCTCCGCCTGGCACCACGGGTTCCATGAAGAGCCCCAGTGCCACACCTACCGCTGTCCCAGAGCAAACCGAGTGACGCTATGTGACCCTGGTGACCTGACTCGGGCAGGGCCGCAAGGACAGTGGGCCACGAACCGCCCCACGCGCTCCCTGCCCCGCAACCCGGCCACCAGCACGGCCCGAGGCCACGACGACAGGAAGCCACAGGGAGGATTCCATCCAGAGCCTCCCGCCCGCAGGCCAGGTGATCTCTCCTCCCCGTGCCTCCCGGGCCACCTCGTCCTGAATGCCAAGGAGAGGCAGCTCGATACCCTCTCTCTCTCTCTCCTTTCCGTTCCCAGCTGGCTCGGCGAATCAACAACCAGGGAGGAGAGCGGGCAGGGAGGCTCGGCCAAGCCGCAAGCCCCTTCCAGACCCTCCCGGCGCCCCCCGTGGGCCCACCGCATTCCCAAACACGGCGAAACCCAACACCCGCGGAGCCCCAGACAGACAGACAGCGACGGAGAGTGAAACCCAGCCCCGGCGGCTGCTCCTTTATAAAATATACAGCGTAAACCGAGAGGCTGCCGGAAGGAAGCCGCGGCCTTCACTCCCTAACCCCGTGGGCACCGGCCTCGCGGGGACCCCCGGCCCAGCCCTCTCCGGGAGCTGGCGTCCCCCACGCCCACACTGGCGTGCTCCCTCCATCTCCAAGACAACACCCTCCCCCTCACTCTCCCACCTCCAGACAGCGCTGGCACGCACACACTCCTGACCCCTCTGGTTGGCATCGGTGCCTACCAGCCAGGAGGAGAGGGCCTCTGTCCCCACGTTATCCTGGCACACACACCCCACGACGGAGCCCCAGTCTTGGCATCACCACCTCCAGAGAGGGGGCGTTGCTGTCTGGAGCACAGGATCTTACACAAGAATTTCCTTCTTGAGGGGGAGAAAAAAATCAAAGAGAAATCATACCCCCCCACCCCCAGGCTGGGCAGGGGAAGGATGGCTATCAGGTGGGAAAGGCAGGACAAGGCTGAGAGGAGGGGAGGGTGACGAGAAGGAGACGTGATTGCCCAGGCCAGAGAAGTTCAGGCGGGCAGGGAGGGAGTAGAAAATGACAGCCCCGCCGAAACCGGTTTGGCTCAGTGGATAGAGCCTCGGCCTGTGGACTGAAAGGGTCCCGGGTTCAATTCGGATCAAGGGCATGTACCTTGGTTGTGGGCACATCCCCAGTGAGGCGGGGGGAGGATGCAAGAGGCAGCTGATCGATGATTCTCTCTCATCGATATTTCTAACTCTCTATCCCGCTCTCTTCCTCTCTGTAAAAACTCAATAAAATAAAATAAAAATTAAAAAAAAAAAAAATGACAGCCCAAGGCGGGCAGCTCTACAAAGTCACCTCACCAGCTATCCCCCCCCCCACACACACACACATACACACACACCCCAGAGCTGGGCTTCCAGTCATCTTCCCGACCCTTGCCCCTGCCCCTGGGTCAGAGGACACTGGTGAGGTGGGGAAGAGCAGAGCGGGACATGAGGAACCGGAGACACCAGGCCACACGGGGCTGTGCCGTGTGGACGCGGGAAGGCACGCTCTCTCAGGCTGCCACCCTGCACCCGTGGCCAGAGGATGTCTGCCCTCGAGCACGGCCCCCACCGTCCCCTCCCCTCCTGGCACCCCAGGAGGTGACTGCCCACATGTCTCTATGGTAACCACTGCCTCCGAGGCAAGGTACCCAGAGAGAGAGGAAACAAACAAATAAGTCAACTTTATAGCCGACGGTGGAGCAGCGGCAAGAGGTGGGGGCTGGGAGAACGCGAGACAAGCTCTGGCTGCGGGGACGGAGGGAGGGCCTCCCGGCCAGGAGGCAGACGCAGGCCCCAGGACAACTGTCCCCTGACAGCAGCCCGCTGTCCTCTCTGTGGGGGCGTCCAGCTTCTCCCATGCCTGGGACATCTATTCCCTCTCTTATCCTAGGGTCCAGACAGTCTTCCCCCGTCTGCCCCCAGGCTTCGGTCCTGCCTCCTCACATATCTAAGGCATCCCATCGCCCAGCCCGAATTCTCTGCTCCGAAGCTCATAAAATGTGTCCCCCTCCTGCACCCTGCAGCGCTTGCTCGATGACCTAACCCCTCCACATACCTCTGGACTCACCAGACCTGTTCGCAGGGCACTCCACACACTGCTGGGCCTGTACCTATCGGATGAGGCGAGCTTGGCAAGCACCCAAGGCAAGGTTCAGGGAGTGTAGGTGCGAGGTGTGAAAGCCAGGGCCTGACCCTCGGCTTCAGGTGTGTCAGGTGCTCGGAGGATCTCACCAGCCAGGCTCCAAGGCATGGCCCTCCCCTGTCCTCAGACCCCCAAGGCAGGCGACGCGGCTCCCACCCAGGCCAGGCCATTGAGAATTCCAGACCGCGAAGCAGCATCCCTCTCCACCCAGGACAGACGGCATCTGCTGCTTGCACCACCAACTTTGTAATTTGATCAAAAAAAGCAATCAAGTTCATCTGGCAGGATTTGTTCCCAGAAGCCCTCGCCAGTAGCTGCCTCCTCTGATGTTTACAGATTCCCTTCCCCTGGGAGTCTGTTCTGCCGCCTGGTGGGCAGGGGGAGGCTGGTGTGTCAGAGCTGTTCACTTGCTGCGTCTCCATCCTAAGTCACCGCGGGGGCACGGGGACGAGGAGGACAGACCGGGAGCGGCTACGGCTGCCCCCGACACACACACAAACTCCAGATGCCCCAGACTGAGAGCTCTCCGTTCCATGCTGCCCAGCACCCCCCATATCCCCCTTTCTCTTTAAAACCACGCTCCCTGAGCCTCCAGGGACTGCTCCTCCCTGCCGCTACCAACCTCTCTCACACCTCCTCACCCATCTCTACCCGAGCACTTCGGGTTTCCCGTACAACTCCATCCGGGGCTTTGACATCCACCCCGAAATCCCAACCCGCCTCCGAGTGCTAAAATGCACAACCCCAGCTCCCTGAGCCTCTTCAGAGGAAGCGAGGACCCTGGAGACACCCCAGGGAGACGCCACGCTGGGGAGCACTCACCCCGGGCAGACAACTTCTTGGTGTTGATGATTTTTGCTGCATACTCCTGCGTGGAAGTCTTCTTCACACACCTGCGGACCACAGAGAAAGCACCCCTGGAGGGAGAAGGGGGAAAGAACTGGGACACGGAGCACAAGAGAGTAACACAGACACGCTTCAGGTCCGAGGGCAGGGGATGCTCCCATCCACCTTTCCTCAAAACCACACACACACACACACACACACACACACACACACACACACACCAGCTCAGTGACACACAGCACTACCCAACATGGGGCAGAAGAGGGGGCCACTGCGGGACACTGAGCAGATGTGTGGAGGGAGGACCACCCCCCCACCCCCCGCGCCTGGTCCCTGGGCACCGAAGCCACGCCCCCGGCCTCAGGCCGCACCTCGGGAGCTGGTGGGCATCCTGCTTAAGGCACACACACCTGCTGCATCACAAGACGGCCCTGCAGTCCAGCCCGGAGAGCCAGGGGCGGGCACAGACACCCTGCCTGCTCTCCGCAGGAATAGTTGGAGGTAGGGGAAGGGGAGATGAGAAAGAGAGGGTATAACCCCCTGGGAGAGAGAAATCTCCCTCAACCAGCGGGAACGGTGGTGCGGGAAGTGAGGCTCAAACCTCCCACCACCGTCTGCGGCCCGCTGCACCCCGGCTCCGCTGAGGGCACGGGGAGCGGGGGTCCGGGTGTGGGTCTCATCCACAGCTCCCCTTTCCTTCCCCTTCCTTTTCCCCTTCCCCTTCCCCTCCCCTTCCCCGGGGTGATATTTCCCTCTCCTCTCCTCCCCAAAGGGAGCTCGCACTCTCCAGCTCTGCAAACGTCCAGGGGGGCGGCGGGGCGGGGGCCGCAGTGGCCGCTCGGCAGGCGCTGCGGTGGGGCTGCGGGAGGGGGTGCGGGAGGTGGGGGTGCGGGCGGGCGGGGGCTGCGGCGGCGGCCGGCTCCGCGGCGGGGCGGGGAGGGGGCTGCGGCGGCGGCGCGGGGACCACTGCAGGGGGGGGAGGGGCCGGGGTGCTGCAGCGCGGCCGCAGCCTGCGGGGCCGGGAGCCTGGACGCGGGGCCCCGGCGGGGGGCGGGGCCGGGTCCCACACATCCCCCCCCCCAATACACACACACTCCCCGGGGCACCGCAGCGCGGCGGGAGCTGCAGGGCCGGGAGGGTCCTGGGCGCCGGGCGCGGGGCCGGGGGACAGGGCGCTGGGGGAGCTCCCGCGCAGGGCGGGGAGGGGATGCGGGCGGCTGGAGGGTGCGGGAGGGGCGGGGCTGGAGGGCGCCCCGGAGCGGTCCGGGGGCTGCGGTCCCCGCGGCGGGATGCAGAGCCCGGGCAGCTGCTGCTGCGGGGCGCGGAGGGGCTGCGGGCCGGGGCCCGGGCGCCGGGGGCGCGGGGCCCGGGGGCGGCGGCGGGAAGGGCTGGGGGTGGGGCGGGCCGGGGGCGCCGCAGCGGCCGGTGCAGGCGGGGGGGCGGGGCGAGCGCCGCAGAGCGCCGGGCGGCGGGCGGCGGGCGGGCGGCGGGCGGGCGGGCGGCGGGGGCCGGGCCGGGCCGGGGGCGGCGGGCGGCGGCGGCCGTACTTGCCGAGCTCCTCGAAGAGCTGGTAGTCGTCGGTGAAGCGGGTGCAGGTGGCGGTGGTGGCCATGCTGGCGGCGGGCGGACGCGGCGGTGCAGCCCGCGCCGACGTCGGTGCACAGTCACCGCCGCCCGGCCGAGGGAGCAAGAGGAGGAGACGGGGCTGAGCCCGGCAGCACCGCGAGACTTTACCGGGGAGCGCGCGGAGGGAGGAGGGAGCGAGCGGCGACACCCCCGCGCCGCCCGCCGCCCCGCCCCCAGCCCGCCGCCCGCGCCGCCCGGCCCGCCCCCGGGGAGGGGCCCGCCGCCGCCCCGCCCGCCGCCCGGGAGCCGCCCGGCCGGCCGGGGCGCAGGGCGCGGAGGGGAGGGTCCCGCACCGGCCCCGGGAGGAGCGGAGAGGTTTGCAGCCGGCGGGCTCAGCCCGGGGCGGACCCTGCCAGGCGAGCCCGGTGTCTGTGAGCTGGGATCGTGCAGGGATCTGGGCCTCCGAGCTCCCTAGCGGGGGCCCCTCCGCCCCGAACTCGATCCCAAGCCCCCAGCCCCGTTCCCGGCGGCGCGGGAGAAGGCCAAGGTCACAGGTCCGAGCCAGACCGCAGCTCCCCGCCCTGCAGGCCCGCTCCCGCGGGAAGCTGACAGTCCATGGAGCCTGGTGCCAGGCAGCATGGGGATCGCCGTTAGATAAGCGCTGTCAGACACCGCTCGTCCAGGGAGGCCCGGCCGGGCCAGGGATGCAGGTGCAACTCGGCCGGCCGTGCCGACCTCCCGACCGACCGGAAAGATGACAGACGTCCTTTCTCAGGCCAGCGAGGGCAGGGATGAAATGGGCTAGAACAGCAAGGGGACGATGAGAGGAGAAAACATTCCCATTTCCTTGCAGGACAGCCCGTGCTTTCATTGGATGGGGCCCATCACGCTTTGCAAGGGTGTGTGGACTGGGAGAACTGGAGCAAGGCTGTCTGTCTGAAGAGGGAACTCAGGGCAGACTGCCCGGCTCTGTCTTCTGGGCAACCCACTGACTTCTCACCAGCTGGCCACACAATCCTTCCCAACCTCAAATGCATTATCTGAACGCCGAGGGGAATGATAGTATCTGCCCCACAGCGTTGTGGGTATGAAATGGGCGAGGGCACATGCAGCACTCAGAATAGTACCTGGCACTTCGTTAGAACAGTGTGAGCTGTCATTATTTGCTTAACATTTGCCTCCCCGCTAAACGGTAGGTTCCCGTAGGCAGGTTCTCTGCCTCCTTTGTTCACCATGGTCTGTACACCCAGCCCCGGACCTCGGTACATAAATATTTGTGGAGTGACCTCCCTGGGGCGCCGGCAGAGGCAGCTACCATCCTGTCCTCTGTCCCCCGCTGTCGGAATAGGGTGGCACCCAGGCTCATAACTGTCTAGCTAGAGGGGAAGCTGGCTGGGGCAGGTACCTGACCTGCCTGGACCGCTAGACCTCAAGTCAGGGGCCAGCCCCTACCCGGGCGGGCAGGCGGCGCTCAGCCAACTGCTGCTGCAGCTCAGTCTTGATTACAGCAGGACGCCCACTGGGAGTCAGGCCTCCGCTGTCAGCAGGCTGGCTTGCCTGCAGAAGGCTGCTGGGAGGCTGAGAGTCCTCCCAGCCTCCCAGGCCACCTCCCTGAGGGCTCCTGTCCTTACCCCAAAAGTCCTGGGAGCTGGTCCCAGAACCCAGACTGCCCAGTGGGGAACATTAGGCAAACACCAGAGGGAAACGTGAACAGATTGCCTGGGAGGAGGGCAGAAAGGACCAAGAAGGAAAGGGCTGAGGTGACAGAACACCATGCCCCACCCCTCCCCAGGCAACAGGAAGTAAGGCGCTGAGGAGGAAGGCCACTTCCTATCTTGAACCCGGGTGAGAGCCTGGTTTCAGGTCCCAGTGTGGGGCAGTGAGACTGTGTACGAGGGAATAACAGTAAGCCATGAGTGTCTGTCGGTCGCCTTGAAGGCAGAGTGCACCCCCAAACAGGGGCTGCCTGTTAGTTCATCATCCATGTGCTTTCCCCAAGCCCTCACGGCCGCTTGGTTCCTGACCTCCAGGTGCTGAACCTTCATGTTCATTATCACAAGGTGGAGTGAGAACACAGAGAGGGCGGAACAGGCAGGAGCACAGACCAGCACTGCCCTGGTGTCCCAGATCCCGGGCACCGTCAGCCAGGGCCGCATCCCTGGCCTCTCCCGTGCCCGCGGGGAGAGGGGACCGCTGTGGACGGTGCTTCAGAGTGACCATATAAAGCCCTTCGCATCGAGTTTTGGGTAAACGCAGGAGTGATGAGAAAAACATTGGGGTGAAGCCTCAGGACTGCCTCACCGTCATGGGTTAAGCAGACCCAGCCTCCTTTCAACAACATTGATCAGCTGCCTACTATGTGCTTGGTGCTGCCTCTTTGTGAGACATCCAAATAAAGTGGAGAATTCGGATGGACAGCTATTAGAAGGAAACTCAAATCATTCTCTCCTTTTCCCTTTCTAGGTCTCCCTCCCATCTCCCTCCCTCACTCCCTCCCTCCCTCTCTCAACAGCTCAGACTCTGACGTGGTGGCCGCAGTGGCATTCCACACACACACACACACACACACACACACACACACACACACGCCCTCCTGGATCCCCATTGCTGCAGCACCGGCACAACCTCCAGCTACCCCTCTGCAATTAGAGGAGAGATACATTTAAATAATGAGTTCACTGGCTCCCTGCGCCTCAGTATCTATGGCAATCTCCAGGGGTCCGGGAGCTGCGGTTCCGGTTGCAGCCAGTCCCCTGGGCAGCACCGGCACTCAGGCCTTGGGGTGCCGCAGTGGGGCGCTGGGGATGACACAGGAAATAGGTGCCCTGATCGTCCCTGGAGGGCCCGCTGGGTGGGACCCTCGGCCCGCCGTCCTGCCCCATCTTTCTCTTCGAAGGCCCTGGAAATTACACCCTGGGACTGCCCTGAAGGAGAGGAGCTTCCCTCCCTGATTTTGGAACGCAGTGTTAGAGGAGAAAAGTACTTATTCTCCAAACGTGAGGGAAACGGAGCAATTGGAAACGAGGTGCTTACATGCAAGGGGGCGGACACGCTTGGAAACAAAGAATAGTTACCCGTTTGTGAGGGGATGCTGTAAAGTACATTTGAAAAGAATTCAGTTTTGTGCCCATGAATGGTTTTTCAATCCACGGGACACAGCACCCTACAGTTTCCATGGCCATGCCCTAGCAGCTGCTCAACATATATCGGGGTTCCATGTACGATTTTGTTGAAGGAGAGAGTTCCTGACTTAAAAAAAAAAAAAAAAAAAAAAAAAAAAAAAAAAAAAAAAAAAGTCCCCGAGAGAAGTTTGAAACTCACTGGACCAGTGGCTGCTGCGGTGCCCTCCAACTTTAAGAGTCTATGACTAATTTTGGAGAATTAGGGGTGATGAGGTCATGGCCTCTCTCCAAGGACTCTGAGAGAAGTATTTGTGGTGAGGCATTTGAGACCAGTGAGAAAATGTTATAATGAGGACAGGAAAGAGAAGAAGTTTGGCTGGTGTGGTCCCGTGGTTGAACATCGACCTCTGACCCAGGTCATGGTTTGATTCTCGGTCAGGGGCACAAGCCTAGCTCAGTCCCCAGTGGGGGGCATGCAGGAAGCAGCCTATCAATGATTCTCATTATTGATGTTTCTGTCTCTCTGAAATCAATAAAAATATACATATTTAAAAAAAGATGAGGAAAGACACATGAAAAAATTTAAATAAGCAACTCCCAAGTTTTGGAGGGGGTGTGCCTTCTCTCTCCTGAAGGCACATCCAATCACAACTACAGAAAAGTTGATACGACCCATCCCCTGTGAGAACTACTCCCCACCAAGCCACATTGTCCCACCCCTCCGGTGTTTAGGAGCTGAAAAAAGAGATTAGGAACCACAGATTCAATCAACGACTGCAGTATTTTTAACAGAGACACGGAGATATGGAGGTGAAGGGCTGAAGGGCTGGGCATGGGGGATGGGAAACTGGGGTGAGAGGCTGAGGATCCTGGGGGTGAGGACTGAAGCCTGGGGTGTGAGGTGTCGGAATTGAGTAATTTGTTTGAAAAGACTAGTCTCTGGTGGGTCTTAATAGATGCAGATTTTCAGTGACTTGTAGGGGTGTGGAAGGTGCGGAACGTCCATTCTCCAGCCCAAGAGCAGTCTGGTTCTAGCTACCCGTGGTGGAGCCCAGGCCAGGGCTCCCTCTGCCTCTGCACCTCTCCACCAAGCCCCTTTAGATTGTGCTCTACTTAAATCAGAGGGCATCTGATGGTCTTGTATCCTCAACCCCCAGCACGAGACCTAGCAGGCCGTAGTAGGTGCTCAGTAACTATTTGTGGAAAGAATGAAGAATTTGGGGCAAGAGGCCAAGATATTTGGGACGAAGAGGGAGCACTGGCGGAGAGGTGACAGAGCTGTCATCAGAGGAAAATGAGAGGTACGGAGGCGAGGGGCTGGCTGCCCAGGCAAGCAGGAACGAGCAGGGCAGGAAGAGCAGTGTGTGGGGCCCCCTGGTGGGCAGGCCTGAGGCACACAGGGTGCTGCTCAGGCGCAGAGGGAAAGCTGGAATGGGAATGACAGAGAGGCGAGGCGAAGATAATTAACACGACGATGGTAACTACAGTTTAGGGAGAGCTGGCTATGTTCAAGACACCGCACTGAGCACTTCACATAAGCTAAGCCTTTTCATCCTCACCCTCACCCTGTGAGAGGAGGAGCCTCAGCCCGTTTTACAGAAGAGGGACTCAAGTTTAGAAAGGCGAGGCCGCTTGCCTAAGGGCAAATAGCTAACCGGTGGTAGAGCGGGGGTGACCGATGGACAGGAAGTGAATAAAGAGCAGCAGCATAGACCACCTCTGGATCTTTGTTGTACATGGTGTGGAGGTTCCATGCGGATAGGCTTCAACCACCAATGGGATCTAGATTGGAATCTTACATCCAAAGTGGATTTATCCCAATCTAGTCCCAGTCCCACATCCAGGCGCTCGCTTAGAGGTGTCTCATTCATTCATTCACTCATTCATTCATTTCATGTCATCTGATTGGCATTTGTTCCAGTCA